CAACCCTGACAACAATAACGACAATGACAACCTTGACCACCTTGACAACAATGACAACAATGACAACAATGACGACAATGTACATGACGGTGTTGACATTGTGAATGTTGACAACATTGACAATTACAACGTTGATAACATTGACAACAATAATGAAGATGCAGAAGGTGCTGGTGCCAATGCTGAGGTTGAGGTTGAGGTTGGCCTTGGAGACAACCAAGATGTAGAGGAAGATGACCCCCTGCCTGGAGGATCCGGGAGGAGGTCAAGAGAGGAGGATAGACAGGACATTAAGGAGAGAAGCAGCAAACGATTCAGATTGTTGCATGAGTTTGACTGCACCTCTGACAGTGACATAGACAGTGACTTTGACAATAGGAATACTGCTGAAGATGCAATTGCTGTGGAAGAGAATGAGGAGGAAGACCCACAACCAGGGTGCTCTAGGAAGACAGTAAGGGAAGACGACTAGTGAGGGGATAGGAGAGACAGCAAGTGACACAAACGTTAAAATGAGACACCTTTGACAAAGACTGACTTCTGCAGTGAGACACAGACAAAAATTCTTATCATAGTCATCAGCCCACTTTTGGCACCCATCTAGCTGATCATCCTGGAGGGGGATCCTTCTTTGAGTGGGCCCTCCCAAGGTTTCTTCCCTTTTTGGCCTCCCTCTTAGGCTTTTTAGGGGAGTTTTCTCTGCTCTCATTGAGGGTCTAAGGTATGAAGGACAAAAAATTACATAAGCATAAATAAATACATGAATAAATAAATGCTAATTATATTTTAAATAAATGTTATTTAAAATGTTTCAATGCACGCAGTAAAGTCACTGCAGCAAATATTAATATAAGCTGCAAAATTAAAAAACAAATAATTTCACAGTATGAACCTGGACTGTGTGTGTGACCTTTTGGATTTATGACACCCAGCTTTAAACCAGGACAGTCCTGGACAAACCAGGAATGATTCCACCAACGCACTACCCCACAGCTTAGTGTCTCTTTGTGCGTCCAATGTCAGTAAATGTGAGTAAAATACAGACTTTGCTGGTCCTGTGCGAATGCGCCTCACAAAGATGTGGGATGTTAATTTCTAAATCACAGAAGGTTCCCTGGTAATACTAGTCCTGTTATTAGTTGTCTTGGCAAAAGACTTCTATGAGACACCAAAACACCCCACAGAAGAACAAAGTGGATAACCACAGGTTCCATTTTTATAATGGATATATATATTTAAACAAACCATCCGTTAACAGAGAAATAAAAACCTCTTGTCTATGAGGCTGGTCTCTTGAGAGAGCTGTAACCAGCTCCAAGTTCCCCCAATGTACTTATATATATATAGCCCATTCATGTATTTATTTAGTAAGTTAGATAGTTATTCATGCTTATGTCCTTTTTTGTCCTTTATACTAAGGTCTGGATAGGTGTCAAAATTTGTATATCTCAATTTTAAAAAACACTCTGTAAAGAATTAATAAGTAAATAATAAATTGATAATAATAATTATTATTATAATAATAAATACATGTGTACAATCTTTTTCAAAACTTTATGAAACATTATATAAAAGGTATAATGTAAAAACCCTCTGAAGCTGTCACATGAAATAAGTTTTGCAAACCACATCCATGTAGACAGAAAAGGTATTACAACCTCAGTCATGCAGACAGATCAACAACAAATGCTAAAGTGATACAAGCATAATATCTAAACAATTAGAAGAAAATCTGTTAAAAATCCATCAAAAACAACAAAGAGTTAACAAATCTTGCTAAGTTAGTTCAAATAAAAATGTCTACTTTTAAATAAATAGTTAAACATTTTGAAAAATACACTTATTCACTGTCTTGCAGAGGATTAGATGATAAGATCGATACCACTCTCATGGCTGTACAGTGAATATGAGGCTAAAGCCAGCAACCAGTTAGCTTAGCTTAATATGAAGACTGGACACATCCTGGCTCTGTCCAAAGGTAACAAAAAGATCACTATTTAACATGCAATATCTACGTTACTTTGCAGTCTTGGTATTTTCTCACCTAACTTTGCAAGAAAGCAAATTTGTGCTTCTCAAATATAGTTAAATATACTATTTGTAGCCTATGAATGTAGCGTGGACTTGTTTGCTTATTTCGAATTTTTCAAACATATTCACTTATAATTTTCTTCTTTATTGTACTGGATTTGCACAGATAAGCAATAATCTTTTGTTTTCTTACATGTGTAACTACATTTACTGCATGAATCTAAATTAATCAGTGCCAGTTAACTAGGCCAAATTACTTCTGCATCCTACTTCATATGTGGTTCTGACCTAATCTGTGTAATGGTTGGCACAGGGACAAGGCCTACTGGATTAATTTGGTAATTAATGACCTCAACCCTGGTGATCTGCCATTGGGTCAATCATTACATGACGTTTGGAAAAACTTTGTTCAATCCCACAGAACAGAACACTGTAAAACAGAGGAGCCTCAGTTGTGCGGAATAGTTCATCTACTTCTGTAGGTTGATGTAAAACTTGGTGAAGGAAGTCCATGGCTTAAATTATAGTATTTTACAGGCGTTTATAAGTTACTTTAAAGGTTCCATATGTAAGATCCTGAAGCATTTTACATAATATTTTGATTTATTAATAGCTTTTTATTGCCAATGAGTAATGGCATTTTAGCGTAACTTTCTCAGTTGCCTCTGGACTGATGTATATGCATTTCTATGTATGGATGCAGGTAGAATATTCTGCAAAAATCCAAAGGATGTGACCTTTGTGTGTATTCCATGTGCCTTTTCTCTCTGCTTTACTACAGCGTCAACAATGTGCAACAGCCAGTGTGACAAGTGGTGTTGATTTTAGCTAACAATAAATTATTTATTATTGTATATTTTATATTTTATTGTCTGTTGTGAAATTGAATGTTTAAATTTTTGTCTGTTCTTATCTGTTGTGCCT